GCCAAAATTGACTTATTGTAATGCTTTGTTAGGTCATTAGGTATACCTAATGATAATATTCAAATTTTGTACAATAGTTTCGATACAATTGACGACGTAAATATTATTATCAATTATTTGGACGCAATGGATGACAGCCGTAAAATGTCTAACGATATCATTTACGCTTCAGTAAATGGGTGACTATAATATGGTTTGTGCGCAACAAGTGGTCGCGCGTACACACAAACGCCGTTCATCATCGCTATTATTATTTTCCGAAGATCAACAATATGAGAAATGAGTATTACGTGGAAATCTACTGAAAGCATATTATATTGTTCTGCTGGTTCCATGTAAGAGCTTTTCGTCGTCTAACTGATCGATATAGTTCATATAGGTACGGGAATGTGTTATGGTAGGTACCACCGCTGGCGTGATGAACCTATACCTATTATATAATGTTATTATTATTCTCTAGTCTCTACGGACTCCAGGGTAGATATAACTTACATATGATCATAATATGTGTTGTATAATTAATTATTGTGTTTACAACAATGCACATACGGTTTCAGATTATCTGTAGAAAATCTTATAGGTATATTAATCGTTGATCCTCATTAATATGTCATTCTGTTATACCAAACTTAACAAGTATTTCGATTGCAATGAAGACTATACTACTATAATACAGCAGAATATACAGCATATTACCTATATACGAGAGGAGTATGGGGGTCAGATCCACCAATATAGCTTAAATTGAAAAAAACATTTTATGAAGTGATGTTGTTTTTCACAAAAAGCTTATACACATAATATTGTTGTTTATATTCAAAAGGAAAAAATGTATTTATTTCAATATTATAATAAATGCATAGTGATAATAACGTAATATTATACAAATTTGATATAGATATATAGCACTTAAAACTATGATCTATATAGTAGGTAAAGTAGCATTAAACACAAGACAATTGCGGATCTCATCGTCACTATTGTTAAGAGGACGTTGTTATACCGACTGTTTTCAGCGGTATAAACATGTCCATTGTCCACGTGAAACAAACAAAACAACATTCAAAAGTGGTTTCAGAGTGAAAACTCTTAAAAGAAAATCTATATAAGAAGAGAGAATTTAAAAACAAATTTTAGGAGACAACTTCATCGATATTTTTTAAATACTGTCTAGTTAAAAGATAGAATTATTTTTCTAAAACATTTACAAAAAAAAAAAAGTGTTTTTAAAACAACCTATATGTGTAGGTTGTATATTAATACAATCAGTGGCGTATTTTCAAATTTTTTGTGGGGGGGGGTCTAAATATTAGGTACCTACAAGTTTATAATATAAAAAAACACATACGAGTTATGATGTAATAATTATATTATATTATATTTTTTTCTGGGGGGGGGGGGGGTCGAGACCCGGGACCCCCCCCCCCCGTAAATACGCCACTGAATACAATAAACTCCGACTGGGTTGTCTTCAAAAATCGTTCTCTAATATAAATTTCATTATAGGTACCTAAGTGCTTTTTAGACACTAAAAGTCTAAAACTACCTAATTTTTAATTACTTTTCGTTTGTTTGGCACAACCATATTAAATTTTATTTTTCATTTCAATCATGTGAAGAAATGCTGAATGCACACGATGATTTAGTAAGACGCAATAGTTGCAATCGTAACAGCTAATATCATAAATTATCACAGTATTTAACTCACATAATATATATAGATGTAAATAGGACAAAAAATGACATTTTAATGCGTACCAATAGCTCATAGTAATTATAATACGTTAAAATTCAAACGAGATATTTGTTCATTTATCGACGTCGGGAAACCAAAACCGAGATATTAATTAATCGTATATTTAATTATAATATAGTAAATAGTAATTATATTATCTAATAATTATTATTGTAGTTATGTATAGTGCTAATTTTATTATAATACATATCATATTATGACTTATGATATACTTATAATAATTCGAATAGTATCGTTAAAATGAGCTATAAATAGTGGAGGTTTAGAAGTATATTATAAATTTTATATATATTTACCACCGCATAATTGAACCAAAGTTAGCAACAGAGGCCATTAATAATTTTAATAATTATAATATTTGCCATGATATTTGTGTTGAGGTCTTACGATTGTATATATATTTATACACCCGTCCACCCATTTCAGACACGAAGCAATTGCTTCAAATAATCCTCTAATATCCCGCCGCCACTGATGTCTGCAGTGAAAGTTTTGGTCGTTATATTTTTGCTTAAGCAATATTATTTCCATCGGAGCATTTTCGCGATTTACTGCCTTATTCCAACTATGAATATTATACACTCGTCTGCGGTAAACGTTTTAATTACTTGTACGTTTCCTCATCGTCGTTTGCTCGAAACGTCTAAAACGACACAATATTATTATTGTGTGTACGCCACCGAATAATAATGTGTACGCACGTCTACTACACACACAGTGACAATAAAATAGCTTAAATTAATTTATAGCTCTGCGATTGTAAGTCCAAACATTTTTAGTACAAACTAATATAATAATATTATTAATTATATCGTGCAATAAGCGACGTGACATTGTACAAAAGCTTTAAACTGTGGATGCGCACCTGTCGGATTTATAACATAATATTGTTTTGTTATTATACGTTTGAGTCACGTGGCGTAAAATAATATTATATTATAATGAGGATTTGAATGCATTAAAAAATATCAATATATGCCACATAATATGCAATAAAAATCTCGAATATGAGCGAGAAAAAATTTTTTAATTGGGTATAATATTATGGTAAAAAAATGAACAATTTTTATTTGATAATTAATATTATTAGTTTATACATTTATGAGGTATTAAAATAATTGAAAACAAATTAAACAACTTGTAATTGGGTATCTAATTTATACCATTAATTTAACACCTTTTTTTTTTAAATATTTGCTTCAATATGAAATACATTCTGCATCTTGTTAAAATACGCACAAATATGAAGTAATATAAAACAACAACAAGATTGCCATTGTCTTCGAACTATTGTAATTCTTACAAAAATGTGAAGGTGCTAAAAGGAAAAATATACAATTAAATAAAAATCCGTGCTCTAATAATTATAATGTTATAATACAGGTGATTTTCAAGCAAGAATTTTCATAACCTTCCTAAGATAGTTTGAAAAATAAATTTAGACATCAATCGGAGCAATATATTTTATAGAAATTAAGTAATTACTAATTATTAATTATTAAAATGCATGTATTATAAAATTCTGTTAAGATAAATGAGTCTCAATGACTTGAAAAAAAAATCCTCTTATGTGCATATTATTATGATACACTCCGAATAATAAAATAATATGAAAAAAAATATTTAGTGTAATCATATCATTATAAATAATCTTTAACGTTTCTCAAAATTATAATCCCCACTAGCGGTTACTATATTAAAGACGCGCAGTAAATACTAAAGGTTGTAGTTTGGTTTAATATTATTATTATTATTAATGACATAAATCGGGTATTAAAATCACAAATAATATTAAATATTCAGATATTCGTAATTCAGGTTATCCATTGGAGCCAAAGTAATACAATCTCGTGGATTTATATCCGAAACGCTCACTAAGCCGGTATTTTGATTACATTTCTTTGAAAAAAACTCCGACTTATATATGTATATTTTTTTTCTGTTCGTTTTAAAATTATGCACAAATTACGAACCTTTACTACATAGAAATTTACGTGATTTTTTTTCAATAAAACGAAAAACATTTTTTAAAATAGGCCATATATAATGAAATAATTTTAATCTCATCGGTTTGTCAATTTCTAGCTCAATTACATTACATAATAATATTATATTAGCAGGGACCCCGCACAGGCATAATATTCTATTGTGCAATATTTCCAAAACTTAACACTCGTCAATTATAATTCTTGATTAAATTCTATATTATATAGACGAAATTTTTAATTTCTATATGCGTGATTTGATATTTATTAGCCACAATATAATTGAACGTCATATTAATTGGAACTGTACACAACTGCAATACAGAATCAACATTAAAGTGATTTATATAATTATGTAAAATATGTTATAGTAATATTATTAAATCAAATATACTATTGAAATCCTCTGGGCTCTGGTCATACTTCGATAACGGCCAACAGGTCCGTACCACCTTCTCCGAGTTACGTCCATTTTGTAGCGTTTGTACAACACAACAATGCGTTATAGGTACCATCGGTATTATATATAACAATATCTCATGATAGAGTGTTGGGGGGGGGGGGTTGAGTGAGAAAACAATGAGGCGTATATAACGTCTTAGGTTTAGTCTTAACGCGTCGGACGTCCCGAGGGAACAACGCAGATGATTATCGTGCAAAGGTTTTGCTATATAGATCGTACCTACGATATTATTATAATATACAAACACGCCGAGAAAATTATATAAGACGTATATTGTTTCCACTTATGCCGAGGACTAAGATTGAATATCAGTGCTCACTGCTGTTCACATAGGTAATGCTAACAACAATAACTATAAGCAATTATCGCCTGTATTTGTTTAAAAATATTTTTTTTAAATATAACTAACGAATACTATAGACGCTGATCAATACGTCTTATAACTACTAGTCAAATCGAACTATGAAAAAAATTCAATTTTTAAAATGAAAATTGACTCTCAGACAACCACATAATTACAAGATTCCTGCAATAAGTAGACGAACTCAGCAGCCTCAACATACCCAACAACACTGAGATCTGACGCGGACACCATCAGATAAATTTTAAAGTTCTTAAACAAAACCAAATTGTATAACCTAATTGAACAAAAAAAAAAAAAACTGTTACAAATGGCCATTATCACCAATGTTAATTTAGAACAAATAATATGAATAATAATAATAATAATAATTTGTTATTATAATATGATATGTATATGTATACACTAATTACTTTCTATATTATAATGTCGCAGGTGTTGGGGACCGAAGCCATTGATGTCACTGAAGTTTTTATTCGGCTGCAAAGGCGACAAGTGGTGTACAACGTCGCCATCCTGATTTTCATTACAGTTCTTTTGATATTTTTCGTACGAGGTAATCAAAAAAATAACAATAATATATTATTATTTATTAAAATGGACTGATTGTATTGGTGGTTTGAACGTTTATTTAGTTCATCCCTTCATGTACAGTTAACTGTCTAGTACTCTGAAGTCTGAAGTAGTACTTTCTTGTAGTTCTAGTCTAGACTCTAAAGTTCAATAATTATAGTAGGATAGCAACATTCGAAAAAAAATGTATGACGACGGCGTCGTAACACTTGTAATACTTCGTTGGTATATTATTGGGATCAAACTATCAAACACTTTATAAGGGTTTAATACGTAAAATAAAAACAAATAATTCAATCGTGAAATTAACCTTCACAAAAAAAATACCATGAATTCTAATTAGGTGTTTGAAAAATTAAAAATAAAGGCATTTAATGCAAGGCTTGAAACCGGAAATATATTTTCCTATTTCGATTTCGAGTTCGTTTATGGGTAATTTTTTTCCAATTTTGATTTCGGTTTTGTACATCCGTATTTATTTTTATCTGCTTCTTTTTTTTATTTTGGTTTTGAATATCGGTTTTTATTTTTGAGATTTCAATCTCAGTTTTGATTACTTACCGGTATTGATGTTTTCGATTTTGTTTTCAATTTCGGTTTTCAATCCTTCAATATTATTATATTATTATAATGACCAGGGGTTGAAACCGAAAATATTTTTCTGATTTAGATTTCGGTTTTGATTTCCGATATTGATTTTTTTCGATTTTGTTTTCGGTTTTTAACGGTTTTCACTGGTATTCAAAATCGGATCAAATATCGTTTTCAAGCCCTGATTTAATGTTAACTTAGGTTAGTTTCAGGTTTTTGTTCAGGGGATGGGAGGGCACTACTCATTGTATTTCGTTTTTCCACTTTTCCGACAAAACATTTAAATAATTTCACGTATTTTTTGTTCACACATTTTGTTGCTTTCCTGTACAGATGTGGACCCCCTCCTAGACGATGATATATATTATAAAAAAATACAGTAAATACTTATAATAAAACATACCTACATATTATTTATCAGGACCCCCCACCCCTGTAGGAAAAAAATATTGTAAATCCGCCACGGCATAACACTATTATATTATATTATAGTATATACCAGTACATTACCCCATGAATTTAAATGCACTTAAAATATCTACCTCCTCTGGCCCTTAACATTTCAAATACCCTCGCAAGTCACCATTAGTCACGTTTACCCTAACGACTTGTTCTTATAAACACAGTTTTATTTTTACGCCATGATTATTATCATATCATGCGTAGGTTTACTGTTGATTTCATTGTAGCTCATTTGTACATTTTCCAAAACACCTAGGTATTTAAATGACATTAATATGTTTCAAAATTATTTGACATGGAATGTTAAAAAAAAAGTGTTACTATAATACTAGAATATAGTAATCAAGTTTACGGGCTCTACAGTTTGTTCAATCAATATTATTGATGTTGGACACAACTAATAATAATATTATACTATGGGTATTACCTTGGCAAAAGCCGGAATACCTACGACGACGTGTCGACGTTACTCAAGTGGGCAGTTGGCGTTTTGTCAGTTCCGGCTTTTGCCCTCGACTTATTATATTAGGTACCCAACACGTCCACGTGAGTAGTCCTGACGGTTTTCGTGTTTCCACAGTGGGTTTGCCGAGCAGCAGTGGCGGCGGTCAAGTGTCCGTCAGCAAAACGGCGTCGACGATTGTGCGGAACTCAAATGCCGTGGCCTCCGCCGTCGACTACGCCAACGGCAGCGGTTTGCCGTTCAAGACCATTTCCGTCGACGCCGACCTTTCTTCGGTGCATGCCGCTCCCACCGGTCCGTCGTCAAACATGACGGGTGAAACATTGCACTAAATGTCACACGACGCTATTATATTTACATATACCAACTATACCTGCATCTGTCAAAATCACGGTTACCACGGTCACGTATATTGTATACCTACCCACCGGTTACCGCAGTTACGTGCATTATGTACCGCAGTGTAAAGCACTGTTACCACACTGTATAGCGTGCCCCTCTCCCATTATACGCGCATTCCACGTTTTTCGTCGTCCGAAATTATTTGCCACCACCGCCTTAGAGCCTGTGGAGAAAACCTACGTGACCCTAATTTGGGTGGCGACTTTAGGTTGACAAAGGCTGACTTATACGACACAAGTCGTTTCTGTTCCTCTCGACACTGATCGTTAGAACTCGTTCCTATAATATGGTTTTTATATAACACCGCAGGTTTAATGACCGTATGCAAAGTGAAGTATGTGTCATATAAGAGTATAAGACATGTTAAACTATTCCTTATGTGACACATTTATTTACTACGCATATGGACATATTCCGACATAAGATTAATGTACGTATGCATATAGTCAATGTATGTGCCACATAAGACATAGTTTAACATGTCTTATGTAACACATACATGATAAATGTATTAATAATATCATCAACAAGTTAGACGTCATCAGGGTCGATAATATCGCATCGACTTTTTTTTATTTAGAAATCCAACGGAATGATCTTATTCGATACCGAGAGGTATAAAATATTATGACTTGTGCCAGTCGTATAATATAGGTAGAACCTAATACTATACAAGTACACGGGAGATGGTATTTTGCGCCAATTTAATTACTTGTAATTTGCACCACCAATAGGTACATTTAAGCACTTTTGTAATTTGAGCCAAAGTATAAAAATTAAACATGTATTTTGCGTCACATCTAAAAATGTATTTTGGTAATTTGCGCCACGACAGAAACCGAAATGAAATATGTAATCTGTGCCACACTTTCAACTTTAACTGTTGGAATTTAGTATTTACCAGCAGATAAATTTAGTAATATTGCATGGGATTATACGGTAATAAAGGTACTAACGCGTGCCGGATATAATAATATTGTTGTGTTCTACTAATAATAAGTAGAGACGAGATCGATTACGTCTAATCTAATAAAAATTATTAATTGTCAAAATATCGAACAATATTGAATAGCTGCAGTATCATGATTATTTACAGTTAGTCCGATATTAATCGAAAATAATATATTTATTTAATAGTAGAGTAGAGTATATTGTATACTTATATAAATTTATTTGTAATTATAATATTACTGATTTTCTATTAAAATAAACTTGATTATTTAGTTATTTTAAAGTGGCTCAAATTACAATTTTCGTAGGTACACGATGGCGCAGATTACTTAATGCTCTTTTATTTAGTTTTGTTGTGGCGCAAACTACATCCTTAAAAAGTGGCGCAAATTACAAAAATTAATTTTGAGATGTGGAGAAAATTACATATATTTTTTTTTTTTTGGGGGGGGGGGTATCACATACGTCATAACACCTATAGAGGTACCTACCCATAATTGTATGTGTAAATATAATTATGAAACTTCGTTTCCACGTGTGCAGGATATTGGATGTAATAATATATTTGGGGGAGGGTGGATTTTGGCATTACGTCAACAATAATTGTTTTTATTTTGAGTGTTGTATTTTATTTTCAGCCTCGACTCCGAAAAAAAATAACGTTCCGATCGTTCACCCGGCGGGCGAAGATATGTACGACGTGGCCATTTTCAATCCCATGTATCCCATCGTCGACTACCCCAAAAGTAATTTAAACTATATACGACGCGTGCACAGACGCACGCTGTATAATATGTAATATAAACACAGTATAACGTAGTTGTATACAGTATATTATTATAACGAGATATTTTATATTCACTCGAATGTGCATGCGCAATTTTATAATTGAAAATACAATATGTATATAATATACTATATAGGTACGTGTATTTACCTATAGTATACGTTTGCGAGTTTGGTTTGGATTTTTCGGATTCGTATAAAATCGCATATTAATCATATTATGCACATAAAATCATTATACACACAGTCGTGGGCACGTGGTGGCACGGCGGAATAATAATGGCGTGTATCGAACTTTCCGTTTTCATTATAATAATATCGTATTATATTTAGGTACAGAGTCGTGTATATTATAATAATGTAATACCTTTAGGGATTTAGGACGCCGATCGATCGAAAACCACCGACCGGGTCCTATAGGTACAATAGTGCGGTGTGTACCTATACCTATGTAATATAAAATCCGACAGACCTCTACGGTACAATATTTATATTATTATAATATTATCAATATGTGTGTGCAACACAATCGCGTTAAAAAATACGTTGGCTAAAAGGCGACGACAGTCGAACAATAATAAATTGGATTTATTAACGCGTCGCATAAAACGTCGTTGCGCGACAATAACGATAACAATAATAATAATATTCTCTCAGCACAATAATTATTATTAATTTCGCATAATATCGGATTGAACAATACTATATATATTGTTTGGTTTCGCGAGGTCGTGAGAGGGCAAACGTCGAACACAAAAGATTAGAGTTATCGATAAATTCCCTAACGCCACGCCAAAAGCAGCTCGTTCCGGTATTTATATATATATATATTTAAATGCATAAAATGTTCTTATTATAAATTATTATTATTATTTTCTGTTCTATTTTAACAACGATTTCGTACACTGGAAAAGGTTCAACGGACCGCAGTCGAAGGGAGTTTTATTTTGGATATTTCATGCAAATGCACCGAGTAAAATAATTATCACGTACCTTTAAAAAATAATAAACACACGTGCCGTTGAAATTAGTTCCTTAATAATTATGACGATAATAGCATTAGAACTTTAAGATTTTCACTCTATGGTCTGGTTTAGGCTGTACAAATAATTTAAAATATTATGTTTGTATATTATCATATTTGATATTATACTATAATAAAGGCATTGTTTGCAAGGCATTAACGACCTTTCATTGGCCAGTTAAAATGTTAAAGTTAAGTTTAAAAGTTTATTTTATTTTAACTTTTTAACTTAACTAGTCACTTTTAACTTTTTGTTAACTTAACTGATAACTTACTAAATTTCTTTTTTAATTAACGTGCAATTAACAAATTCATTTTTTATTTTAAGAACTAATAGTTAAAGTGATTTATTTTGTTTTTAATTTTATTGTATTTCACTATTTCAGTCTATTTCGTTTTCATGTCAAAAAATATTTACAGTGAACTGTTTAAAGTAAAAAGTTATATCATTCAAATCTAACTTATATGGAAATACTGTAGGTATAATGTATAAACACTATAGTCTATAATTTAGTTTTGGGTTGGAAAAAAATTAAGTAGCGTTGTATAAACAAACTTAATAAAAAGTTAACAAAAAATGTGTATCAACTTTTAACTTAACTGAGTTAAATTAACTTTAACTTTTTGTTATTGGTGCATATTAACTTAACTTACCTGACTTAAATAAAATAATTAACTTGCCCAGCCTTGGGCATTTGTATGAAATATACCTGCAGTGGTGAACTTGAACATTTTCAGAGGCTAATTTTATATATTTTATATAATTAAATATTTGTATACCAACCTCCTAGGTATCATAATAATTAATATTATATAGTTATTACCAAAATAGTAAAATAGGTACAACTATAGTTAATACTAAAAATTATCACCTAAATTGGCGTTTTCGCTAATTACCCACCCACAACCCCTTAAAAAACTCAGAGGCGGCCGCATCTCTGCACCTACCCTTTCGCCACGCCACTGTGACTATATAATATTACATTATTATATAAACAGATTTCTTCAGCATGGCCTGTAATTGTTATTTATTAAACGATATTATTATAATATATGAATGTACACGATTTGAAAAAATCCAAACTTATCTTTTATCGCACTTTTAACATTGATTATAGAACAATAGTTATATTATTGTAGTTGTTTATTCACATAATATAATACATACATTTAAACCAAAATCGATCGTCATGGACACTCGTGGTCATAATAATATTATAACAATTTATAATGCTGTAAGTTTGTCCGTGTGCAGCGTGTCAATCCCTTTGACAACATATTGTTGCCATAATATCATTTCTGCCTCCACTTAAAATTTTTTTTACGATATTCACAAGAACGCCAAACTGTAAAAAAAAAAACCCCAACTGGGTAAAACTATTCAGCAGGTACTTGTATCCAAGGCTGCAAATAAATTTAACGAGTTAAAAATTAGTTCATTATAACGAAGTTGGGCGACGGGTATTACTTTTCTTTCATATTATTAATAACATTTTAATGTTTAACCCTCGCGAGATTTTTAATAAAGTTTTCGGGGCCAAATATCGAGTTATTTTTCATTTAGTGCATTTTTTTAGTCTACCGAGTTAGAAATATATTATATTAAAATTATATAATATACGCAATTAGGAAGTGTGGTTTTTTTTTTTATTATAATATTCATAAAAAATACATATCAACAACGCGTCAACAGATTTTGACTAAGTCGTATTCCTCTTGCCCGAAAATAAAAGTAAATAATTACGAGTTAAATACCGATTCGTCAACTAGTTAACGAATAAAAGCACTTTATAACTAATCCTAACGGTGTTTCAAATGTTAACATGTTATTACGTGTATTTATTAAAGATCATAATTTACAAGTGAGTGTGTAAAATATAAGTATGCACGGGGTTTTTGTTATGACTGTCGAGAGTGATGTTAACAACATAATATGACTTGTCCCCATAGATAATACATCATAATGTATAGGCCATTCGACTCCAAACCACATGCCAAAAGAGTGCCAAGTTAAATATAATGGTAACTGTATAGTATAATTTGGTTACATAACTATTAGTGATAGTACCCATTGATTACACGTTCAGTGTTGCCAATTATAGTGCTATTATTGTAATATTGTAATATTATTGTACTATTTGTGAAATAAAAAAATAATATTTTTTGTTATCATACATTTTTTATGATACCACTATAATGGCTTTAACCAGAAATAGGTTTCTCTGGGGCTCTTCTGGCACACCACCACATATGCGATTCACATAGACATGTCCTATCCATTATGCATTATCTATGCTTATCACATATGCTACTGATAAATCACTCACAGTCTGTCAGTATAATACTACAAACTGTAAATAACGTTAATTTACCAACGGTTAATGTTTACCAACACGCTGTACATGGTTTTATAATACTATTACGCGTTATTATCATAATTATTATTATCACATATAAGCAATTTAAAAATTTACTATACGTAGAATGATCAATTTATCACACACACGTTGTATTTTTTTTTGTCACTAATGCACAATTTTACTGCACAGGCACTTGCCTACCGTCTTTTTGTCAAAACGTCACGTCCACCTTACCACAGTACCTGTACACTATACCTTACAAGCCAGAATACGTAATTATTATTGCAAATTATTGCCATCAGATACGACTCGAAAGAGAACATATTGTGTGTGCGCGCGCAACGTGACCAATGATGGTGTGACCATATTATATTGAGAAATTACTGTCAGTTGTGGGCGTAATTATTCAATATGTTTGTTTTTGTACAATTTTCAAATTTAAATTATTACAGGTTGGCGCATCAAATTGTTGACGGTTTTGTTTAATCGATTTAGTTATATTATAATATTATTGAAACACCTTCCATTCTATGACGACTTACGTCTTACATACAGTACCATCATTGGCTCGCTGCTCATGACATGATGTGTGGGCGTCCAGTTTTAGTATGGCAGATAAATGAATATCAAAGTTGTAGTCGTTTCGATAAAATAATATTCTGAAGACCGAAACCGAGAGTTCAAATATAATATAATGTTCTCTTTCGATTCGAATTACGATTGGATTGTACTTTGCTGTCGATAAACGAAACGTGCACTAATCAACTAAACTTGCTTCTATGGTATAAAAAGGATCCCAGAGAGCTGATAGCGCTGGAGTCTGTGGTAAACGTCCGTTGCTACGAGCTGACGGCACTGTACTTTTGTGCTCTTCTCGCGTCCAAAGGCTGTGGAAACCGCAAATTGAAGCCTTGTCAGTCGCTTTGTAAAGGTAAACAAATGTATACACTATAACAACTTACCAATACAATATATCCTTCCTGTAGGGATTTCTTTAAACCCACGGTCTCTGTAGATTTTCGGGTTTAAAAAAAATATATTTTAAAGGGTACACCCATACATACCTAACCCTATATTGCATAAAAGTATGTTTTAGGTTTTTCATATTCTTTTAATAAAACAAACCGTATAGGTACTTAATTTTTTTTATTCTAAGTCATTTTGAATCAGTTTTTATTTTATACATTTCGTAGTTATATGTTTCATCAAACGTGCAAAAAGCCGAATACCTATAGTATATTATAAGCATTTCAATTTTAGATACCCACGAGTAATAGTTTTTGTTTTATAAATAAGGAACTAATGGTGCGTTATTTTAATGTTTGCTTGAGAATATGAAAATTAAAATGAATCTATCGAGTAATTTTGAACAGAAACTTAAACGAACAATAAATTACAATAGTTATAATAATAATACACTAGAATCTAAAGATAGGAATAGTAATCGATTATACGAAATCAGTATAACTCCGCATAAAAATGTATTATTTAAAAAATATAATATTACAATAATATGATATACGTAATAAAACGCGATACGTTTTTAAAAAATCGCATCGTCTATAAATAATAATAATATATTTTATTTCCCGCTTTTCCTCATCGGTGCAGGACTGGGGTGGTGCACTGTTGAATGCTAAACAAACGTTTTCATGGACACTTCTACGTCTACCTAGGTATATAATAACTGTCCGTTTTTTAAACCACAGAGACCATTCGGAGCTGCGGTTTCTTCTTTGACATATTTGAAGCGTACCACGAACATCGGGAGTGCACGCAGTTCCCAAATGACAACAACAACCCTAACACATTTTGCATCGGACACCGGGAAGTACTCAACGTCAGGAAAATGAAGCTCAGAGGACGTGAGTAACAATAAACGTTTACTATGATAATATATTAGTAGGGGTGGGTACATACCAGTATAATATTATAATATTATTACTGCTATACCTATGACATGGGTCAAGTGATTGTTTTCCAAAGTGAGTTAGGTAAGGGGTTATAATCAAATTATGAGATCGCTTAAAATATACGACACGAACGCTATGAAAATTAGTCACAATACTGCTGCATCAGGTAAATACAACCAGTGTGTTAATACCGTTTAAAACACTTCCCCCTTGCCACTCAACTATGTTAATATTATTGTTTCCAAATATTAAGATGACCAAATCACCTATATGTTAATCCCTAAGGCCTAAATCATCTAAATTAAACTACTCAAATTACCTTCCACCTCGACAACGATAGTCGTTTATTTATTTTTTTTAGGTATACGATTTTCCGTACCATAACAGCTGGTTGGAAAACGTGTGTACAGTAATTTTAATCATATAAATAAAACAAATATTATGTCTTGAAATCCCTTAGGAAAAACGATAATATTATCTCACTCGGTTTTCAGTTAGGGTACAATAATGTGTAGGACGTAGGTACCTACTGTACCAGTGTACTTAAACCATTAATCCGGCAAAATGCACAGCGAGACGAATTGAAACGTTTAGAAATTAATTATGGGTAGGTGTAGGTACAACTTACTATTATACTACCGTGTTATATAAACAATTATGGAAACGGTAAGGTAACAATTCATTGCATTGAGATTCGGATCTAGTCCGTTACGGAATAGTTTTCCTACTTAAATTAATGTCGTACGAACAGAATGTTAGGCCATTTCCCGCAGGTCCTTTACTTCGTCCGAATCTGTACAAAAAAAGGAGTGGAAACGCTATTAGCTTGGCTGTGACGACTATAATAATAATAATATGTCGGTAACGACATGATAAAATTGTATGATAAAATTTCGTTCGCTTAGTATATTATTATAAGTATGGCATGCTACTATATAGATATAATAATTCTTCTGCTAGGAAAATAATTGAAGAATCGTAAACAGTTTTTTGGGGTATATTATATTATAGTGCAGTGAAAAAATATCTAGTAACATGCTACAATTTGTTAGGAATTTAATTAATTGTTTTTGGTTTTTGTAATTGTTGATTTGCTACGAAATTCGCACTCGCGAAAATAGGTTGGAAAAACAAAATTTTACCCAGCACAAAAGCATAATACTTATCTGTGTAAATATATTATTTATTTTTAACATAAATAAGTTTTTGGGCTATGCACAGCTGATGTTCTATTTTTCTAACCGATTTTGAGAAACTTTTTCGTTGTCACTGTTACTTATTTACAAAAAAACATATTTATAATATGTATGATTCATAAATTTTCCTTGGAAGTGAAAAATATCGAGTAGTTACTAAATTTATTTACTTCAGCCAAATCAATTACAATATTACTTAATTAAAATAAATGTCATTAATAATAGCTGATACCTACTAACTTAGCTATAAGCTCGCGCGTATACGTAGTACATAGATATAATAATTTATTTTAATGTAGGTATAATAGGTATATATATGTGAGTACTTCGTATTATTATCATATAAGAATATCCTCTGGTGTACAATTTAACCAAGTACGAAAATATGTTATGATAACAGTAATATATTTTAATTGTAAATTATTATTGTTTATGATCGATTATAATTATAATTATTTCTCCTCAGAGTGAAAGTATTAAAATAGGTAGGTACCCGCTTTCTTTTCTTGAAGACTTTATTTGTAAAAAATATGGTTTTTTTTTAAATAAAACTGCTCACTTTGTTTAATTTTCGTGGTGAAAATATTCTCTCTTGTCAATATTCTAATCATTCCTATTGTCATAAAAACAAACATTTCGTCCATTTATTTAATGGATTTCAAGCTGGAAATGTGTCCGTCCTCGTCGAGCGCCATTATTGCTGCGTTCTGCGTTTAAATGCTGTCCTTCGTGTCCTCTCGGCGCGGCGTCCGTTTTGATATATATTAAGTGGGTAACGGCCAACCTCCGTCGATTTCCGTTCAATTCCTAAACCTGAAAAACAATATAATTACGCCACAAACACATATTACAAACGTTACATTTCGACATTAACTGTCATTAAGTACCTATACCTATACCTACGGCGTAAACAAGTGAATTGCAAACGTCTAATCGAATTCTTCAGTTTTAAATTGAATGCGGTTTCCTAATCCTAAACGTACTTATCAATCAAGAGTTACTCGATGGAAACTCATTGAACACGACTATCGAGATGTTTGTGTATCCGTAATATTATTTCGTTCGAATAGGTACTATATTTTATAAGTATTATGGCGATATTATCGTGAAAACAACGAAATAAATAATCGAATGAAAACTATGTAATTATAAATAAGAAGTGTAAAGTTGTATAAAACAATGTTGATTTATAAAAAACTAGAGATAGGCCATTCCCGGGAACGTAATATTACGGAAATTTTAGGAAATTTCCCGGGAACGTGTGGAAATGTGCGGACATCGTACTGAACAAATTGCTCAAACGAATTACAGTTTACGCATCATAAGACTAAATAATGGTTTATTTCATTTAAATGTTCAAGCTTTTTTCTAAATTTAAATTTAAAAAAGCACTTATATAATATTATACTGTTTTGAAAATACAAAAACAAAAAAATTAGGTTTCAATGATTGGGCTATGCATATTATGAATACCTATATTGGCGTAATCGATGGGTCCCATTAAATTTCTCAGATTTTTATTGCACTTGATACAAATAAATAAATAAACAAACAATTATTAACATTGTACCTGCTAAATAACGATTTAATCCCAAAAAAAACTTTTATAACCATTAATAATATTTCAGTTTAAATTGAATACAATTTATAAAATAAATCAGCCTTTTTTATTTATTTAATATTTAAAAACATTTAAGCACCAATACTCACTGTGAAATAGATATACTAGAAGATACCACTAAAAGATAATTTAGATTATTATCAAATGATGCAGTACGAATTTGTAAAAATTTCTTGGACATAATAATATATGGAAATCCCAATATTGATCTTTGAGACATCCATAGGGACTTGAGGACAAATTTAATATGCATAAATCAAGGTAAAATACTAAAATGTTTAACTTCATAGCACACGACCATGGTATCCAGAAAATATATAAAATACACGGTACTAAACTATAGGTATATTATGTTATATGAATATTTTTTTGGTAATAGCTACCTATAATTGCAATAACAACTAATCGTCAAAAAATTAGTGAGACTTTTTTTATATTTTCTTCATTTATCTAGGAATCTAAAAGCTACTTTAAAAAGTTTCATTGGTCAGTATATAACAATCTACAGTAACAACAATCTATTGTACTTGGCATTTTGATTTTTACAAGCAAGCTGCACTCTTAAATTATCTAAACTAATATACTATAGGTACTCTGCAGGGTTGAGGTGCTATGATATTTAGTTTTAAGTGAAATCAACTTAAATATTTATTACTCTCTTACAAATATCGGTATACAACTATCGTGGTTATATTATAGTTGTATTTGCCCAAATGGGTCATCGTTCTTGTGACGAAGACGTGTTGTGGTCAAATATTTGTTATTTGTTCACAGTCTGTTTACATTTTGCCCCTGTCCAGTAAAACCTGAAATTAAGCCACGGAGTATAACTATATATTATTAATCGGACTGAATCCGCGGACCTGTTAATGATGATCGCTTAGAAGTTAAAACATTATAGTTGAAGGAATCCGTCGTATATTTTCAAGAGATATTGATTCATTTATATTATATTCTAATATAAGTCATCATCGTATACTTAAGTAAAAAAAAACATCGTAAAATCTGTTGTATTACGTTAAAATTTAATTTTGTATAGTTTATTTACGGTGTATTGTTTTTGATGTAGGACTTATTAGACTTAAATCTTATTATACTTTCAATAATGTGAAGTAAATAATATTATGTTTTGTTGTACAATGTGCAGTGAAAGATTTTGTTTTGAGTGAATACTTTCAACAAATCTCATTCGACGCCCTCAAAAAAAAAACATTTTCATTTAAGTACGTTTATCAAATTAATTTTCATCATTCACAGTTAATATTTTGTAAATAAAACAGACAACTAGTTCTGTATATTTATAGTACGATACAAACGAAACGTTTACACTGTTAAAATAATAAAATTACAATAATTATATATTAATATACTACACTTAGATTCTCATAGATATTTCTTAAATAATTTTTAGATTAGCTTAATTCATTATATGACTTGTAAATGCATACATGTTTTATCGGTATAAAATCAAATGTCATTATATTTTAATAAAATACAATCGTCAATTAATATATTTTGCTTTTTGAATGAATATTATCTATATAAATATATTGCGTTATGTTTGCAGTTTGCCACGAAGGTTTTAAGTGTGACAAAAAGAGATGTATCCCATTGGATTGGAAATGTGATGGACATTTCGATTGTGAAGATCACACCGATGAATTGAAATGTTCACAATGCCCGGGTATGTATTTTTAAGGTTTTTTTAAAAAAATATACCATCATTATACCTAAAAGTATCATGCATCAACTATTTTTATGTTGGCATAAAAAATTTGATTGGATAGTCAATGGTGGGCAAGTTAAGTAAATTCAATTAAATTGCCTTCAGTTAAGTTGAGAGTTAAGAAAGAAAAAATTTAACTATAGTTAAGTTTAAAGTTAAGATAGAAAATAAAATTAACTTATCTCAGTTAAAAAAAAAGTTAGTATTTTTAAGTCATAAATTACCATAGTATTTTGTTATACACAAACATTTAGGTATGAAGACGTTTAACACTGTGTAAAAAATTATATTATTATATTGTATTGTTCGAAAATAAATGACCAAAATTCGTAGAAGAGTCGACGAATCAGTATTGTCTTGTTGATTACGCATGACTTGAAAAGAAAATTAACTTAACTGCACAACAATGATAATTAACTATAAAAAGTTAAGTTACAACAATAAACATTTTAACTGAATAAGTTAATAAGTTAAAAACAAAAAAAATTAACTAGTTAAGTTAAAAAGTTAAAAAAAAATTAACTTTTTAACTATATAGTTAACTAAATATTTAAATCAAAGGTAATAATATTTAATACACAATTAATAGTATGTTTATTATGTACTGAAAAATATATTAATAATTCCATCATCATTCATATTAAATATTTTCACTGAAATTAAAACTGTATAAGTACCATGAAACAATTTTAGTTAAAAAATGTTGAATACATTTTATCAAAAATAATGTTACTGATATATTTTTAATCGCATAAATGTATTGAAAATGTAAATTTCCAAAGCGAAATGTGTAAGGTAAGACTCAATGAGCTTTGAAGTATTTCAGCTTATTATGGTAGTATATGTCCTCAATAGGAATGAATATTAAACATTTATTAGGGCTCTCAAAATAATTTTCCATAAACTTAATTTTGTTGATATTTCATGTCTTTGCTTTGGCACATAGAATCGAAAAACGTTACATTACATTACAAAAAAACGTTACTTTATTTATTTATGTTTATAAATGGTTGCCATGGGTTTTAAAACTATTATAATAATAATTATTATGTCTTTGCTTTGGCACATAGAATCGAAATCGAAAAACTTTAAGTTACAAAAAAAACTGCAAAATATCATTTTTCCAATCCTAAATTCGAACTCGATATACGCGCTTATCACACGATATTTATAGGTAATAGATATATGATAGCAATTAGCAAGGACAACAAATACATACAATGTGGTACTTCATTGCAGACTCGTATGCAATATGATTTCTAAAACAAATAATTGTTTATAATAACATGGTCGCCGACATTTTTTAATACATTTTCAACCGTATAATCTAAAGTATAAATACTCTGAATTTTTTCATGTAATAGGTGCACTGTGAACTTTCTTCATATTGTATTATTAAAACATACAAAAAAGCCATTTAAATACTCTACACAAACATTAAAAACAGAAATCTAAGTCACAATAAACTCCAGTAAGTACAGGTACTTATTATTGTACACTAAACTAAGCAGTTAGTTATAAATTATAACTCATATGTGTATGCACACATTATCAGCATTGTAGTCATAAATACTATTTCTATAAGTATTACTCAAATTCTGTTCCAACTATTTGGTAGAGGCAACATACCTATTACCAACTTACTATTCATACCCTACATATTGGTTGAAACATCGCATCAAAACATCAAGTACCTACTCATTATTTTTAGTATTTTCATTTTAAAATAGTGTTAATACCTATACAATTTAAAAATTATTATTAAAGCGGGTAAGTAATGGCTTGGATACGGAATATAATATAATCAGTTCTTAGATTGTTCGCATGAAAAAATGTTTCTACGAAACCAATAGACCTTTTAACAAAATAATTTTTAATTTTTGTTTATTATTTGGATCTTCTTTGTTTTGATGCCAGTTTGAAAAAAATAAGTTTCTTCGATTGGATTATAATCTGATCTGACATTTTAAGAAAATCGAAGGTTCTGATGATACAAATAAATTTGAGGGGGACGAGGTGGCCGAGCGGTCTAACGCGTCGGCTGCGGCGCTGGCAGTCGCGGGTTCGATTCTCGACCACCGGGCGGCATTTTTCTCCGGGCAAGTCACGGTGTCCGGAAAACAAGTGCCGCCATCCCCCCACTCCGGGGCATGGCAGAAACCTACGGGTGCCCCAATAAAAATTCTGCCACCACAAACACACGTGTTTACAAACCAACAGTTCCCTCCCCTACAAACTAACAAAACAGCTAATGGCCATAGTTGCCGGGCTTAATGATCAATGAAAAAAAAAAAAAATAAATAAATAAATAAATAAATTTGAATTTAAATGGAACAATATTTATTACGATAGGTGATAATTAATTATTATCCATCACTTTATTTAAGTACATTATTATTAAGTTTATAATTCTCGTCTCGTGTTTATTGTAAACACCTTTCTCTCCAAATTACATGTATAAAAAATGTTTTTTGTTTTTTTTTAGTAGGTAGGTATATTATAATACAATAGCTAGCTGGTACATGAAATATACAAATATGCACTTTTATAATATTAATATAATATATAAATATTATAATACTTAGGTAGTATATGTATATCGTACATTACGTCATAGGTATACATATAGTTCATTAGCTGCAGCAGGTTTATACGCCGCTGATACTCGTAAGTCCTGAGACAATGCGAGCGGAAAGAAAACTTATTATAAATGTAAAGTTTTCTCGCTGTACATAAGGATATAGCGGTGAGATTGTGTTTTTGGCGAGGAAAAAAACGAATCAATATATATTAATCCGGCGAAAGTTCTTCGCGCACAAATCGCAAACACCGGTGACCGAGACGATGAAATTACACCACTCCCCTACGCAAGTCCTAAGTATATGTATAGACTATATTATTATACCATGTACACCGGTGTATAACTATATATATTATAGTCGTTTGAACTAAGTCGTTTTGTACGCACATAAATACGTAGATATATATAATATGGTCGTAACCGTGGTTATACGACCGGCGCGTGTCACGGACAGTGGCAGAGTAGTTGTTGTGCGTTCAGCTAGACGTACGATTTGTCCCGTGCCAAATGTTCCGGCAAATGTCCCGATGTGTGCGCGTACCAAACACGATGGACGATGGTCGTCGGTGGTTAGCCACGGTCAGCCGACGTTTTATACCGACTTTTGTGCGATCGACCATATTATTATTATGTATACCGTAATAATATTACAGTCAGTTATAATAATTTTGTATCAATGCGTCGAGGTTTTCGTCGCGAATCGCGTCATCCGTCGCGACTATACGCGATAACTGCTAAGACTGTTCATCGCATAATATACAAAGCAGGGGTGGCCACTAGGGGACTGGAGCAACCATTTTCTTTATGCATTTAGCTCAATAAGCGAAAGAAAATTAAACATACTTCCAGTAACTCGATTTCAATTTTGAAAAGTAAATTTGGTTTGTGTTCCTCTTTTCAAAGTTTGTTCGGAAGTGGATTCTTATATTTTTCATCTCTTAGCTATCAACTCTAAGTCTAGCATAAGTTTATTTTGATAAAATTATTAACTTTCTATGCATCATATTATATTAACTAAAAACAAAGTCGTAAATCTATTTCCGAGAAAACCTAGAAATTGGACTAACGAATACATCTTTTCAAAATTAATATTAGTCGATCGAAACAAGGTGAATTTCTGTTTCTATTTTGGTACTGTTAGCATCAAATTTCTGCCCTACAGTCTGAGCAGTTCGTGTTTATTGACTTGTGCATGCGCGTATGGGTGTTAGAACATGTCTAAGAATCATTATAGTAGGTAGCCATAATAAAACATACATATTAAATATTATCTGCATTCCTAACGATTATAAAATATCAATTAGAGCTGAATTCGTCGCGAAAAGTGCTATAACGAATTACACACACTAATTTTCGCTTACTTCTCACACATCGACACAGCCAAAATGTACATCTAATAGGTATGAAATGCCTAAGCACTACCAATTGAAACATGGTATGCTTCAGGCACCTTAATATTTTGAGAGCCTCAAATTAATAAAGCTAATTCGAGGCGAGCCACATTTTAAAGCGATGATGTTAATAAAATTAAGAGACATTTTTAATTGTATATCAATTTATTTTTTACACCACACATATACATTATACACTACTATATTTAGTAATTTAATGAATTCGTCTATTTATAAGATTTGTGTACAATGGTCAATGATTTACATAGATAAGTAGTCCCAACGATTGATATAAGTCTCTTAGCACACTCTTTTGTTATTGGGTATTTTTCTTCTGGAACATGAGCCCAAAATTTGGGCTACACATACTAAGTACATCACCACCACCGTTCCAATCTATAACAACGACTGTAATGATAACGAAACCGTCGGCGATAAAAACACTATCTTACGATTCTAACGGAATTATATTTATTAATTTTAGTCTAAGCTTGGTTCAAGAGCTACAAGAAAGTGATTTAAGAGCAGTGTTCGGATTAGATAAGTATTTTTCTATCTAGATAAAGATAAAGATAATGCAAATCAAATGCATCTAGATATATATAAAAGATAACTTAACTCATATTTATCTATATACAAAAAAAGATACAATTATTTTTTAAATGGTTTTAAATTTATTTATATTTTAGCTGGGCACTAGGAACATAATACTAATAATAATATAAATACAAATAATTGCATTATTCATTAACCATAAACTTTGTTTGAGAATCTGTATAGGTAAATATTTAAAAATGCGTTTTTACAATTTCGTGATTTTTATCAATAAAAAATGTATCTAGATAAGATAAAAGATAAACAAATAATTATCTAGATAAGTCCGAACACTGTTTAAGAGCCGCGTGCGGCTCGTGAGCCTCGTTGTGGCCAACCCCTTTTATTATTATTATACCTAGGTATAGAACCATAATTTTTTTCGGGTTACCGTAACAATGTTTACAACTATGCGCAACATGTACTGCTGATGTTATATTATTATAATATATTATAATTGTCACAATACTGCGCATCAAAAATATACGAGATATAAATATATCTCGTATTATAAATCGTAACTAGCATTATTTTATTACTTGCAGATTGTATATTTTAATTTTGACTTCCTTACTTACTATTTTTGAATATAGACCATAGTATATTTTTCAATTTTTTTGATAATAACACAATTGTTTAGTATATAAAGAGGAATTTAAAAGCTGTAGAAATATTCTAATTAGTATCTTACAAAATTAATCTTAATTTTAACAATAAAATTCTATGATTGTTGATTTATCATTGTATTTGAAATTCAAATGAAAAATAATAATACAGTCTTCTCCACTATAGCAGGTCCATGTCCCCAGCACCCCCCATTTCGAATTTCGGGTCCAAACCCGGGGCGATCGTTTGTGCTTCGTTAGTGCTCGTTTGTGCACTTTATCCCGTCGTTAGTGCTTTATCCCTTCCAAAGTTATCCGCATTTCTTACAGGGGGGTGCTGGAGACATGCCAGCACCCCCCATTTCGAATTTCGGGTCCAAACCCGGGGCGATCGTTTGTGCTTCGTTAGTGCTCGTTTGTGCACTTTATCCCGTCGTTAGTGCTTTATCCCTTCCAAAGTTATCCGCATTTCTTACTGGGGGGTGCTGGGGACATGCTGCACCCCCCATTTCGAATTTCGGGTCCAAACTAATTTTATTCGTTTGTGCTTCGTTAGTGCACGTTAGTGCACTTTATCCCGTCGTTAGTGCTTTATCCCTTCCAAAGTTATCCGCATTTCTTACTGGGGGGTGCTGGGGACATGCTGCACCCCCCATTTCGAATTTCGGGTCCAAACTAATTTAATACGTTTGTGCTTCGTTAGTGCTCGTTAGTGCACTTTATCCCGTCGTTAGTGCTTTATCCCTTCCAAAGTTATCCCTATTTCTTACAGGGGGGGTGCTGGGGATGTATTAATCCGAGTCCAGCCCCCAGACCTCTGTCTGAATCTCTTCAATACACCGAGGTAAAAATGATCCCTGGATGATTTTCAGTTAAAACTTGAAGTTTTTGAATTTAATTACTTAAATCCTAGTTTTATGTTTTTGCAATTATCACGTAAAAAAAATGTTTTATTACAATTTTAGATTTATGCTAATTTCCGTCAATCTTCTTATAGGATCATACCTATTATAATGGTTTTCACTTGTACGCGTCACCTTATTAAATACCTAAGGTTACATTATTTAATATTTCCATTGTTCCTATGTCCACTAAATTGAATGATCTTGAAAGAAATTACCATTAATTGTTTTTTTATATATATATTTATAAACTGTATTTATGAATCATTAATATAAATAATTTTTATTAATCATTCAAATACATTATAATAATTCATTATTGTTAGAAATCATATTTGTTTAGAACTTTTGAGAAAAATATATTTATTTATAAATTATAATTTTATTTATAATAAAAAACTAACACTTATTATACTAACCTGTGAATCATTATTGTATCTCGAACCGTTAATCGGTGAAAATAATAATTTTAGTAAATATTAAACAACTTAAATTATAATTCGATTTCCTCAGATCAATTCGAACTATTTTATTATAATGTAATTAATTATTTTAATTAGGTAGTTGCAAATTCAATTTATAAGTAATATTTATTATAACTCCAATAAGACTTCTTTTCCCATCATACGCCATCATCTATGAAGAATTATTTATACAATACAAACAAATATATATATAATAATATTCTTCTTCGTGCATTTGTGAAATTAATTATTTATAGTTTATAAGCTATAACTTAGATCCAGTATCTAAAGGTTATGTATTTTTCTGTAAAGTATTTCAAAATTTCAAATATTAGATACACAATTACTTTTCAAAAACTTGTTGGGTAGTTAATAAAATATTTACAGACACAACTATTTAAACAACGACCTTGTATATTTATCTGTTTCTGTTCAGTTTTAATATTGATAAAATAAACATATTCTTTTTTGGCAAACTAATAGATATTTAAATAAATGACATTACAACTGTTAGGGAATGTATAATATAACTGTAAAAAAAAAAAATAACATAATAAAATCGATGGCCATTCATGAACTAAATAAATAAATTTAACAAATAAACAAAATAAAGATATAAATTAAAATACATTTTATAAAAGTAGTTTTATAATAACAATTAGACTTAGGTATAAAACTGTGTAACTTCTAACTTCTATATTATTAAGTAAGATTATTAATAATTAATATATTGTAGTTATCTTCTGCTAACTTATAATGTATAAATTAAAAATTGACAGTCTTTCGCAATGGATGATGATCTAACTGTTTTGACTGATCGTTGTAAGTCATCGTATCTTTCCCACTTGTCAATTGATTCCCTCCAACAATAACCAATATAGTGTCCTACAGCATTTTTGAGCTTAGACATCGGAGCTTGAAAACTCACAGCTCCACGCAGTGTATATGTTTTTTTTAATATATCAATCTTTTGAGGTATTGTCGATAATATTATTGATAAATCAAAGTTTTGAACACTTCTTTGGTGATCAGAAGAAGGTGCAATTATTTCAATAAATAAATGATTTTCAATTGTGTAGTCGCTTTTTGATGAAAAAAAATTGCAAAACTCACATTTATGTAGATCATCCGAAAATCTATTATAAATTATATCTTGGATAAAAGTCAGGTTATCTGTTGGTAGATTTGCCACAATCGTTTTTTCTACAATTTCCTTTTTAAAACCACAATTTTCACAAGAACGATATTCTTTAAAGGATGGGAAATCAATAAATAAACTTTGAAACATGAAGTTAGCAGTAGACGCACAATCAAGATGAATAAGACCTACTGATGGTCGCTGTGGTTGTTTTTCTCGTATATTTTTCAAAAAAATGTCGGTTAGAATAATTGCTCTTTTTTTATACGATTGTACGTTCACCCCATCCCTTATAGAATGAGCAACAAGCTCATACAGTTTCAAAGATTTATTTGATGTAACAAGTTCAGAATACTTAATGCTATCAACAAACGAACAACATAATATTTGAAATATTGAGTCGAAAGCACAAGTGTTGGTAAGTGTGTATGTCAAACTATCAACTGTAATACTTCTCAAATCAGGTATACTCCCATTTCTTAAAATTCCAACTATTGGTGATTTGGTGTTGCTTTCCTCATTGTAATGCAATACAGTTGGATCTTTGTCCAAATAATTTCCTCGTTTTTTTTTTTTTTTTGGTTCACCTAGACCTTTCCAATTCTCAACCTCGTTAACGTTGTCTGTAATAAGAGCAATTGAAGTAATCTCATTTTCAAACTCTTGGTTGATGGGCTCGAAACATTCTTTTATAATAGGAGTGTTATTATCTTCAATTAAATGAGGTTTATTCATGTCATTGTCAAAAGATTTTGTTTCAATGGTTGGGACGTTTGATATTTCGTCATCTACCTCTTTTCCTATATTTTGGTCGTTTACTTTGAGTTTAGCTCCTATTATATTCATTGATCCCGTGATATAACTTATATGATCATGAACAAATTCATCAACTCTAAGTGGCAATGTTTTGTGTTGAAATACTCTATTTTTCAAATCATTGAATAGGCTTTCCGAAGTTGAACTTGATTCGGTAATATCACCGTATTTAAAAATGGGTGTCATGACTGCTGACCAACAAGGCAACAGTTTGCAGAAATCTAAAATTCTTTTCGGGAGGCTCTCGTTATGAAATGCATTTAAATCATCCCCTTGGCTTGATGTGTTGTTACACATGTCGAGACAAGTATTATAAACGGACTGTAATTCTTCAAATATGTTATTTTGAGTTAAATCCGTTGGTACTATAACAGTAGAATCAGTGCACTCATTTATTATTTCTTCATTGTTATCAGTCTGTAACGGGTTTTCATTAATATCTAATATAATATGTGTACTTATCCTCTGTTTTAAATAGTTTTTGGCGTTTTGACATGGGTTAGGTAGTCCATTAGGATTTAATCCTTGTTCTTCACTTAAAGCTATTATAAATATATTACGTAATATATATTTTATATCATCAAAATCTGTGCTTGCGATCAACAAGCCAATCGATCTTAGGTAAAAATTTTTTATTCGATATTTACAAGACTTGATTTCAGGCCAACTACTTATGACATGCATCACGTGGTTAAAATCATTCCGAAGCATACATGCAGGTAATTCAGACGATTCTTTTAATATCAATGACGAACACACGGCTAAATATTTTGATAAAGAAGAATATTGAGTAAATGATTTTACTACTGCCATCATAAGAGCTAAAGATTGGTCTGTGACTACTATTTTTGATAAAACTATATTAGCTCTTGACCACTCAGTAAGCCAATAACTGATAGAGTTACTGTCGTGCCGTTCGGATAACATGTGTGCTGCAGTAAACTGGCATTTGCTTTTAAAGTCCATTACACCTATTTCATACAGAAAAATTGACGATGATTCTCTACCAGATATCATATTTAACTTTTTCGTAAGTCCCCCCGTCGCGTCAATCGAAACTCTTGGTAACTTATTTTGCTTAGTATATAATCTATAAGTGTTAATTTCGGTCGTAGTCCAGTAATGCAGGAAAAATCGATCATAACCAATATCCTGAATTATTTGATTGAAAGGCGCGATCCTTTTAAGTAGAGCCAAGGCCAATATCGAATCCTGATGCAATTTATCTTTTTGACGCCTTTTATATTTTAACACTCTAAGAGCATTAAGTGAAGGTAAACTGCTGGGTTCTGGATCACCATAGGTCATGATTTTTTTGGACTCCATTTTTTGAATGTAAGAAGCTGACATGTTCTGTTGAATTAATTTGTTAGAAAATTCATCTTTTTTTTCACCAATAATACGCCTTTTTAAACCACTTGTGCAATACTCAAATAATCCAACGTAAGAACATTGTATTATGACACGTGAATCTGGTTCAGGAGGATTTTGTATTAAACCTTTGAAGATACTTTGGCAAGCAGCACAATTACCAGACATTTGTAGATAAATATTTCCCATTGCGTATATTTTTGCATACTTATACACCATCTTACAAGGTTTTTTAGTTTGTTCAAAAAAATGGTCATTTATAATATTTGTCCACTGAAAAGGAATCAAAACATCGTACTCTCGAACCCCATTATTTCTATCATTTCTTTTATAAATCCTTCTTTCGGAATCATATACAAGCTTCCATTCTTGGGCTGATAATGTTATAGTGAACTCTAAAGTTTGTGGTTCATTTTCATCAGTATCAGATGAACTACTTATAATTGTCTCGGTTTTATTTTCAATTTCGGAAATATTTTCAGAAAAATTTAGTTGTTTTAAAATATCAAATCGATTTTGTTTTACAACAGTATAGATATATTTTGAAGAAACAATATTATTTAAGTCATTTGAGATATCTTTCCAACAATCGTGTGAAGGGCCCCATATGCTTTGAGTAGAAGTATTGAAGATATCTTTTTTCCGGTTTAAAATAGTTTCAACGAGATTAGTTTGACATATGCTTGGTTGTTTAGGCATTTTGAGGATAGGCTTGAAATATCTGTCGCAAATAATTAAGTATAATAATAACTTTTTACTTAACTTTAAAATATTTATTTTGTGTTATAATAGCATAAGCAACTTTTGGGGATTTATCAAGTATGTTGATTAAAATCATAAATTGTCATTCAATATGAATGAGAAAAATCTTTAAAGGACTTTGAATTCAGCTTGAATACTCATTAATTATATTCATTTGTTTCAATAGAAAAATATTTGAAATTTAATATGGTCGTGACGTTAGCCCCCCAACTGAAAGATTCACTTCAAACAAGCCCCAATATTTGGCAAAGTAATTGCAAATAAATGCAAATTGATTTTTGGAATTTACAAATCAAAATACTGATTTTGGCGAATTTATATTATTTTAGAAGTCAAATAAAAATAAATCTTAGTTGATATAAAAAATATAATAATATATCTAAAAATTCTAAATTGACTTATAAAAAAGCGGGTAAGTGGATGTCACTCTGCTGTACAGTAGTTTACAAGTGGGTTACTGTAATGGATGGTATTAAATTTGAATTCAATGAAATTATCATTGTATACGAAAAACGAGTTGTCAGTCTAGGATATTTTACACAATATTAATAATTTATATATATTATTTTAAAAAAAAAATGTAGGTATATATAAAATAAATTCCAAATTAATCAAATTAGATTCATAATGTTACGTGGAACCTTGTTTCAAATTTTCAAACCTTAGCTATAAAGTTAAAAATAATATAATTTTTTAACAACTAAAGGACTTGTACATTTTAAATTAAACAAATTTTGTCTAAATTTGAACTTTAAATTTTTTAAAAAAAAAAACGTGCCTGTGTATTTTTAATACATTCCAACTGCTATTATATAAACTTATGGGGAACCTTGTATTCAATTTTCAAGTATTTTGACACAACGAATAAAATTGTATTGGCATTTATAGAAGGAAAACTAAAAATGTCCATAAATAACTTAAAAATTTTCGAAATATTTTGAAATTTTTATCAAGTATAGGAATTGATGAAATAAATATTTAATGTAAATTTCAATTTTTATATAGAAACAAAATAAGAATATCAGTACAACAGAAATTGAATGAATATCCAATATTGTAATTCAAATTTTCATAAAAATTTAATTTAACTTTCCGGCAGAAATTTTTTATTTGATAAAAGTAAACAAACTCATGAAGAATATTGTATAGAATTTTCATACCTTAGATTTAAAAAGAAAAATTTTTATGAATTTCTAACTCAAAATAAATTGCTAAACTAAAAAATGTCGATTTTTTAATTAAATTAAGATTTTTACTTACATTAAATGTATTGATTTTACAATGTTGTGTGTTTTTTTTTGTGTCTGTGTACACGATAACTTAACGAAAAGAAATTCCCAACAGTTTTCAAAAAAACCGGGAAAAACCAAAAAAAAAATAAAAAAGGAATAACGGGTGTAACGCTAAAACTAATTACCGTAGAAACAAGAAATTTTCACAGAATGTTTATACAGGCATTTTCTATACATGACATTTTCAAAAAATTTTCGAATCTTTTTAAGTTATATATAGACATTTGAAATTTTCAATTGTTTTTAGTTTTTTTTTTTTTAAAAATGACTGACATTTTATTCGTTGCGTAAAAAAGCTTAAAAATTTGATACAATACTTCTAATATATTGTCGCAATAGTGGTTAAAAAATATTAAAAATACGTAGTCACAATTTTTTTTAATAAGCATTGAAAGTTCGAATTTTGACAAAATACGTAAAAATCACGAAAATTTGCAATTTATTTTGAGTTAAAAATTCATAAAAATTTTTTTTTTTAAAACTAAGGTTTGAAAATTCTATACAAGATTCTTCATGAATTGTCTACTTATATCAAAAAAAAATTTTTACCGGAAAGTCAAATTACATTTTTATGAGCATTTGAATTACAATATTAGATATTCACTCAATTTCTGTTGTACCGATATTATTTTGTTGTAATATAAAAACAAATAAATGCAGAAAATTTAAATTTACACCAAATATTTATTTCATCAATTCCTATACTTGATAACATTTTAAAAATATTTCAACAATTTTTAAGTTATTTATAATTGTTTGAAATTTTCCGTTTTCTTAGTTTTTTATTTTATAAATGTCAATAAAATTGTATTCGTTGGATCAAAGAAAATTGAATACAAGGTTCCCCATAAGTTAATATAATAGCAGATAGAAATATTAAAAATACATAAGCACGATTTTTTTTTATAACCATTTAAAGTTCAAATTTTGAAAAAATTGTTTAATTGAAAATTTAAAAATTCTTTAGTTATTAAAAGTTTATAAAATGTTTAACTTTTATAGCTAAGGATTGAAAATTTGACACAAGGTTTCACATAACATAATGAATCTAATTTGATTAATTTGGAATCTATTTTATAGGTACCTACATTTTTTAAAAAAATAATATAATTATTATTGTATAAAACATTCATGACTGAACACTCGTATCCAATCAGAATCGTTTTTCGTATACAATGATATTATATCATTGAATTCAAATTTAATATCATACTATTACAGTAACCAACTTGTAAACTACAGTACAGCAGAGCAACATTTTTCAATCGAATTTTGATTTATATATAAAAAAAAAAATTATACCTGGTTAATATAAAATTCAATTAGAATTTCCAAAATAGTAATTAAAAACTTAATATATAATAAAAAATAAAAATCCGTATTTGATAAAAAAATAATAATATTTTGTTGTTGAGAGGTCCTTTCGATTTTGATTTATTAATTAAAGATTTTTATCATATTGGTATAGTTTTTTGATTTCTATTTTTTTTTAATTTACTTCAATTTCATATTAAATATAGATATTTTTTATAAATCAAAATTCAATAAAAAAAAACAGCCATGTCGAATAAAAATAAAAGTTCTATAATAAATCAAAATAGAATTAAAATTACTTTTCAGAAAAATCTAATTTTGGATAAAAATTGTAGATAGAATAAAATATAAAAAAATAAAATAAAATAATAAAATACTCGACATTTGTTAAGTGTTAAGACTACCAAAAATTCAAAGTCCCTCGGTTCAGTAAATGGAAAGTTTTTATTTGTCATTTTAAATGCATGTATTTTATTCTGCGGTGCATGTGTTAACACTTTTAAAAGTTCATTAGATACAACTTTTTTAAACATTATCAAATTAATATATAGGTACCTAACAATAAAATGTATTTTAAATGTTAATGTTGTTTGCATTTGTCATATAGCATTATAGTAGAGATTATATTATTGCCTATGTTAAATATATTTTTTAGTAGTTATGCATAACTATTGTTATATGAATACAGAACAGGTATAAAAAAATAACACATTTTTGAAATTAAATAAATAAAACTTATCATGCTTATAACTATTACAAATAATTTTAAGTAAGTTGAATACTTACTGTCCATATTTATTATCTTTAGGTAACTCATAAGGCATAAGTCATAAGGCAATTGTTATTAATTAACACTGATTGTATCTTATATTCGAATGGAATGTTGTTTGGGTAGTAATAAACATGAGCTTTAAATTATAACATTTTTTTATGGTTATACAATATAAAATAACAATGTTAAGTATAATGATTGAAATAATACTTGATGTTTTATGGGCCATAGATCCTTACAATTAACCGATAGAGTATAATTTTTTATAATAAATACTAAAATTTTACATGGAAAATTATTATTATTACCTAGAAGGAAAATATCAAAGTACCTAGGCATGCTTTTCTAATTTTCATTTAATAAAATTAATTTGCTGCTTTGTGAGTGAATTTTAGAAACATCTTCTACTTAAAAATGTATGAATGATAGGAACTTATGTGTTCATTGATTTAATCTATTGAGGGATCTGAGTTAAGTTTTGACTTTTTTAAGAGATGAAAAAAATCATTTGATGGTGTATGTAGTGACCTGACCAAACTGACTGGAAGAGTGCCAATAATTGAAATTATCTTCAGTATTTCTGAAAATACTTCTGGAGGTTTATTTGAGTAAATCAATAATTATAATTAAAATGCAGTTTAATATTATTTTTATGATTATAAGTAATAATTAAGCAGAAACAAATCAAGATGTAACCTTTAACTCATTTATTTTTAATATTGTAATAATTTACCAATAGACACTTATAGACATTTAGAATTAACATAATTGTTAAATATCTGAAATTTTTAAAACATAATATTATTATCTTGATTTTTTTTAAGAAAAACGCATATCCAAATAATTTAAAAGTTAAAAATTTAGGTTCCTACATATAAAATACATTTTAACTGCTATGACATCAGGTGGTTAAAAAGGGAGTAAAAAATAATTGGTAAGGGTACTTATTTATTATTCACATCATATCATACTAGACAAGTATCACAACATTTACAGCTCAAAGTCTGCTTGAACTTTTTTTATTGTTCATCCATAAGCACAGTTGAGACCAGCTCAACAAATTTTCCGCCTGGGAATTGATAGTCTGGTCCGATAACACCAACAATCAAATACACCTCATAGGAATACAAAACTATGGAGGAATCCTGAGGAGTATTATGAAATTCATTTAAAATCAATCTGATTAAAGTTGGATATATTTGAAAAAGGTATAGCGAACGATACAATAATGGTCACTGTTGGCATAAATAACCTTGTAAGATATTACACATCAAAATACCAATATAACAGAAATATCTGTGGAATATAAAAATATCAGAACATTCTGAGGTGTATTAAGAGTGTTTTTTTTAGATGCATCGGACCAATAATAAAGAAAAAGCAGTTCAAAACCACGCATTTGTTAGACTAACATGGCCTAATAAATGCGTAGGTAATATTTGAAACAAATTATATTTTGGCGAAAATAAGTTGAGCAAGTTATAGTGCATTCTTACTTATGGATTGTTGTGAATACGTCCTAAAAGTCTGTTGATTGATATTCCGAATGTGTGCACTAG